TTTATTTTCACGGTCTTTAGTGATTGTCCAGCATTCACCGCCATAGGAGGGTTGACCATACATAGCATTTCAGAACTTTCATTTTGGTGGCCATTGAGATGTTTCTATACATACTTTGTGTGAACGCAAAAGCAGGAGAAACAAACGAAGGAACAGAAAGTACAATGACCAGCATGGAGTTGGCAGTATAAACAACTATGGAGAAAGGTTGATTGAAATGTGCCAACTTAACAATCCTGTTGTAGGCGGGCACTATTTCCACACAAAGTCACCCATAAACTTACTTGGTGTCACCAGACGGAATTACTAAAGATCAAATAGATTTTGCATTAGAAAGAAATTTAGAACCTCATTAATTGATGTCCGCGGATATATAGGGGCTGATGTAGGATCGGACTATTTCCTCTGCATTGCAACAATCAAACTGAAATTAAGCAGGCAAGTGAAAACAGTCACAAAAAACAGCAACAACAACAACAACAACAACAACAACAGCAACAACAAACCGCGTTGATTCAACAAAACTGGGAAAATCGGACGTGGCTACAGGATTTAGAATAAAACTTTCGAACAAATATGAAGGTATACTATCAGTTTATGAAGATAGTGATGATGCACGTGAAGATCTGTGGAGGGCTAGAAAAGAAGCATGTCACCACCGCGGAAGCAGTTCTTGGGTATGGATCAAAACCATCTGAAGAGTGGATTCAAGAAGAAACATGTGAAGTTATAAAAGAAAGAAAAGAAGCAAAACTAAAGATGGTGCAGGCCGACGCAAATGATAAATTGGAGGCCTAGGAAAGGTGCAGAGAAAGAGACCCCCCCAAAAGTCAAAAGAACGGCGAGAATAAACAAACGAGACTACACAGAAAAACAATCTGCTAAAGCTCAAGAAGCAGCAAACAGAGACGACATGCGAGAATTATGCCCGATTTCGAAAAGATTAGCTGGAGACTTTGGAAAATCATCAGAGGGACCAGTAGAAAAGAAAGATGGCAAAATGCAACAACTTTAGAAGACCAAAAAAAAAAATGCGATGGGCAGGACCTTTTCTTACTTTAACTTTTTCCTTCCGCTTGTACCCTGGGGTGTCGCAGGGAGACACAGGCGTCTGTCTGCAGCAAGTCGTGTGGCCTGTAGGAGGGACATCCCATGATCTTTAAGGGTGTCTGCCACAGATTCACTCCATCGTCGCCTTGGTCTTCCTCTGGCTCTCCATCCAGAATATTTAGTGTTGTATGCTCTCAGAGCTGGATGGTTTGAGGGCATCCGCGTGAGGTGTCCGAACCACTTGACCTTTTGTTTTTCAATGTGTGGTAGGACTGGTGTTGCTCCCACGGTGTCCCTTATGACTTCATTTTTAATTTTGTCTCTTCTTGTTTTGTTGACCGCTCTTCTTAAGCCTTTCATCTCGCATGTGACCAGTTTCCTCTCCAGGGCTTTTGTTAGAGTCCATGTCTGGCACTGATATGTGAGCGTTGGAAGGAAAATGGCGTTGATGAGCTTCGCCTTGGTGCTCATGGGGATATTGGGATGTTTCAGGAGAGGGCCCAGTTGGTAGCTGACTGCATTGGCTCTCTGGCATCTAGTCTCTATCTCTCGATCTAATTTTCCATTTTCTGTGAAAATGCTGCCCAAGTATTTGAATTCTCTGCTTTGTTTTAGTTGGGATCCATTGATGTTGATATCCACTTTGCCTGGTCTCCTTTTCAAGAGAGTTTAAATAAACCACCCCCACCAAATGAATTCAACTTTGACAAAGTGCAACCAATGGGGGACTTGAACACAAGTACGGCCGAGATAACCATGCCGGAAATTTTAACAACAGTCGTGAAAATGAAAAGTAACAAAAGTCCAGGAGAAGACAAAATTACCGCAGAGATAAACGGTTGGAAAAAAAGGGTTGTGGGGTATTAATTTTGCTATTTAATAACGAAATTCTTGAAAAGAAAATACGCACATGGAATTGAGAAAGGGAAATAATATTCTAAAACTACCCAAAAGGGGACTTAAAAGACTGTAGCAATTGGAGAAGAATAACAACGCTTTTATCGGTGCCTGGGAAATTATTTTGCGCTAATATTTTGTCTCGTATCAGAACAGCAATAGATGAGAGACTAACAGAGGAACAGACGGGTTTTCGACCGGACAGATCATGTACAGGTCAACTGTTTGTTCTGTGAAATATCGCAGAACAAAGCAAATAATGGAATGTCCCAATTCTTTTGAACTTTGTGGACTTCAAAAAAGCCTTTGACAACATGGACGAGAGTCCCTGAGGAAAATTCTTGCAATTTATGGTACCCCAACAAAAGTAATAAACTGTTTAAGATCATTATATACCAAAGCAAACTGCTGTGTCCTAGTTGAAGTTGAAGGAGAACTATCTACACCGCTTGAAGTAATAAATAAATACTGATGTTAGACTAGACTGTATATTATAACCTGTACTTTTTGGAATTATGATCGATTTTGTAATGAGACAGAGCAAAGATATTGAAACGGGCATTTGGTGGATAAATGGCACTTACGAGTATTTAGGAGATTTAGATTTTGCGGATGACATCTACCTATTAAACACCATAGTTCAAGACATGCAATTAAAACAACAACAACAACAACAATAAC